AGACTCCTCCTGTGACCCGGCACCCTTCGACTTGGAGACAGAAAAAAGACACAGTCTGATCACATCCACAAACGAACCTAACGTAACGATGATGCCGGCCTCGTGATGAGTCCATCACAGTCTGGTTGACCTGACACTTCCACAGGGCGAATTCATCGTGACCAGATTGAAGGCTACAAACGACCTTGCCTGCTGCAATGAACCTGTCACACGATGGCGTATCCCTATGCATTGATCACAGCAAAGCTATGCTGTCCTTGCAATCCATTGACGTTCTTCTCAACCTTGGCAAGCAAAAAGTTGCACAGGTGCCTTCACACTTTAAAGATTAAGTGCAATATTATCGAGTAGATCTTGAAGGCAAAGGATAAAATGCATAAAAGGGATGTACGTGTATCTGCACATTGAGGATCTGAGTGGGAATTTGGTCAACACGAGCACGACTGGTGGACAACATAACCTCTAGTCAACGCATGTCAAGACCCAGCGAAGAAACATCTTTGCAGAACCTGACAGTGAAGTATTAACGCACCTCCACAAATGTGCAAGGCATAATTGGCGTACGGTCCAACGCATGCGAAGAAAAGATAATCTGTTTAAGACCTGGAGGTGTAGGACCTACGGGGCGAGCGAGAGATGCGACATGCACAATGAGTGAGACACCTCCCATGGCACAGTAACAAGAAGCGACTAGGGGCTCCTGGCATCGCTACTAGGAGCAAGGACGCTACTAGGGGCTCCTGGCCGTACTACTAGGAACAAGAAGCGACTTGGTGGAGGCCATCGCTTCTTGAACCCTTTCTAGCAACAACCAAACCAACAACAGAAAGATGAGGACTTGATCCTACAACCGCAAGGGACTCTTCAGAAGCAGCAAAGAAGCAGCAAAGAAGCAGAGGCAGCCTGAAGGACAAGCACTGTCACAAAAGAAGCTGACGCTTCTCTTTTTCGGAGCCCACAGCACGCAGCTGAAGCGAAAGAATGGAAGTACACAACAATAAGCTACTAGGAACAAGTGCATCGCTTCTAGTAACAAGTGCCTTACTAGTAGTTTAAAAACAAAGAATGGAAGTACAGAGTATTCACAGCATCCATGGGACTCATGGACCAGGAGTACAATGGGCCACAAAAGGCCGAGAAGGAGGCTGACTAGTCAACTTAACGACTGGAGCAGCAATATCTTGCACATCCACCATCCAATTATTCCAAGGTCAGCATGTTTGAGACGCCTTGGATGCATGTTTCAGCTGGGAGTTGAACCATTTATTTGCAAGAGCGATATGATGCAGGGTGGAGGCCATTGCTATTAGCTCTTGTGCCGACGTTTGTTGTGCCCCGGATCTTGTTGTGCACCCTTTGAGCTTCTCTGAGCGAAACGGTTTCTACGCGTCGCCCGAACCGCTTTTTGGCTCAGTTGGAGAGTCCGTACTAAGGCACTTGTTACTACTAGCAAACATTGTTACTAGTAAGGCACCTGTTACTACTAGCGTGGCACTTGTTACTAGTAGCCGTAACACACCAAACGCAAGTTCTCCTGAGTTCCATGTGGAGGAAAAGGGGTGGCTGGAAGAGTTTTAAAGAACAGCGACCCTTTGAACGACAGGATCCCGAGAAATGACCGCACACCCGGGATTCTCAGCACATCACATTTCCAATTCGGATTCCAAACTTGGAGTCCTTACGGCGCACACCTGACAGGGCAAGGACGTTACTGGTAGCTCCTGGCATCGCTAGTAACAAGAAGCTACTAGGAACAAGTGCATCGCTTCTAGTAACAAGTGCCTTACTAGTAGTAACAAGAAGCTACTAGGAACAAAGGGCGCCCAGAACAAGAAACCAGAATTCGGTGCCCTCATAGTCTGCCTGCCGCCACATTCTTCAGATTGGTCACGGAATTGTCAAGGTGATCGACCTCCAAGGCACATCAAATCTGAATAGCATTGCACAAAGTAACATGCGTCGTTTCATTCTTATGATTGTCTTGGAAGTTGTCTTTCTAGACTTCTAGACGGATCTAACCATGCTTTGTGACAGGATTTATTTTGAACACATCAACATCCGTGCATTGTCATCAATCACGCCTGACCTGGCAGCAACTGCAAGCTTAGCCAGGGGGTCGTTTTTGAACTGGTGGAGACGGACGAACAGTGGGGCGTGCGAGGAGGGTTAAGCACAATGTCACAATGTTCTTTTGAGTCGGTTTTTGTGGCATTGCGACTCACTGCTCAATGGTGTGTTTGTCTTCAGCATACAGCAGAGTCCTACTCGAAGGCTTGCTAAGCCTATTCTTTGCCTGGAAATACACCTCTGTTTGCTGATTGAACATGTTGCAGCTCTGACCTTTTGCACTTGTTCTTGCTGAAGAGACATTGCACCTCCTCGCAATAGTGCCCCGATGGAAGCGGACCAGGGTGGAACTTGAGGAGGGGTGAACTAAAGGTAGCCATCATGCATGTATCATGGGAGACACAACCAACCATCTGGCAAAGGGAAAAGGGTCGGGGGATGATGATGATGATGATGATGATGATGATGATGATGATGACGATGAACCAAGAGGACGATGATGATGGTGATGATGAGGGGGGTGTCCAACGAACGGGGTGACCTCGCAATGAATAGAATCATACCTTAAACACAATCAACCACTTTCAACAATCCAGTCCCCCTTGCCTACCCAAGATAGAACTCAAGCAGCTGAAGCTACCTAACTCGTGACATTTCGTGGAAAAACGAGTCCAGCCCGAACACGTACAGTGTAAGCGTGAGGTGAGCAAAACACGAGGAAGCTCACCTTTGCCGCAACATATCGAAACGGTTTGACGCGTGCATTCTTCTCAAAGTGAAGAAGTGCCAGGAATGGTGACAAGCGACAGATTCAGAAAACCGCAAATTTCGGATGGGAGAAAGATGAGAAAGGTGAAAAAAGGTGGGAGAAAGGTCCGAGAAAAGCGGACACGTAGAGATTTGTACAGAGTTGGAGAAAAGGAAAGAAAAGTGAGGTTACAAAGAAGAACATCAGCAGACAGTAGAGGTTTCTGTACTAAAGCTCACCATTCATGATTGCACTCACATCACAGCTTCGACACTGACTGCATTGAAGGGCGAAGGCCTCCAACCTAAAAGCAATGGCCTCCAACCTACTTGCGTCCTTGCTCCTAGTAGCGATGCCCTTTGTTCCTAGTAGCTTCTTGTTCCTAGTAGTAAGGCCAGGAGCCCCTAGTAGCGTCCTTGGTATTGCATCACAAACATCGCCCTCCAACACATGACTCTTCACGTCAGCCCGAACGCGTCACATCATAACGCCCCTCACGCACGAATCACCTCACATCACCCTCACAACGCTTTTTGATGTTCTGCGAGAAAAGCTCACTTGTGACGGTGATACTGTAAGATCTGTAAGTCAATTCAATCCCTTGAAAGGAAAGACTTATGGAATCCTACTGAGGAGCTGCCTCGGGAAGGCCTGCGCAAGACAAGTGTAGAATTAAAAACCCCAATGAATTCAGATGTTCAGGCAAAGCAATTACCAGGGCACGGTGAAGAGTTTGATTTGCGCATTCCAAATGTGCTGGTTGGTGGCTCACAATGCGAGTTTGCAAAGCAAACTGTCCAGAGTAGGCTGAAATCAGCGGAAACAAGAATCCGGGTCATCCTTGAGAAAGGTTGACTCTGGCCTGCTTTTGCCTGTTCTTTGACTGATCCTCGCCAAAGCAAATCATACTTTGAAACCCTCGAAACCTTTATTCCGATGCATAGCCTGCATAGCACATTCATTCCTGCATCAACGGTGTTTTTCTCGACAAGACTCGCATGCCGCATAACTGTCTGGCCTGCAGCTGGTCCAGTCTGTCACTGTACCTGTAAAACACAACAGGCGGGCAATTTGCTGAAGTTGTCGTACGGTACGGTACGCTGCGTACCTCTTTTGGGCTGTGTCGATGGTTCTGACTTTGCTACGAAAATCATTCAAGCTGCTTTGCAGGTTGCGCTGCAGCCCTGTGACCTGGCGCTTCGCAAGCACGGGCACCGCCAGCCATTGACATACCTTATACGTTTAAGCATGCTTGGAGGCCATCACTATGTTTAGTTTAACCGTTGTGTTCAATTTTTCCCCAACTCGCCATTGAGCAGTCTTGCTAGCAACGGATCGATGCTCGAACAGCTGCTTCTGCATTCTTTTGTGCAGCAACGGCCGCAACTACATCACTCACAAGTGCCACTGGCTGGCAACTCAAATGTTCTGTTGCCCAAAAAATGCAAACATCGGACATCCAAACTGCCCAAACTCTAAATTGAACACACACATATATATATATATGTGGCAGGGACCTTTTGGTAACATTTCGTTGCGGATGAAAAGCACCGGCACATTTCTCACTAGCGCGCACAGGTCTCATTTGCCCATGCCACCACGCACAGGGGAAGGAGAAACCGGACGTCGCGGGTCCTTAGATCGGTTTCTCATTGTTTTTCATTGTTCAATTATTGCACATGTATATTGGGAAGCATGCGTTGCAACTAATGAATCAGCCAAAGCGTCGTCCACTGATCTCTGGCCTGTGTGAAAATTCTCCCAGTAGAACACTCCTGGCTTTGTGCCTTGGATACAAGCGCTGATGGCTGATGGTTCCCGAAGCCTAGAACGGTTGGCATGACGTTCAAAAGCTTGTTACGCTTTTCAAAAGAGTACGGCCGCTTTTGCGTTCAAGCCAGGCTGCGGCTTTCGATCTTGCGCCAGCTCAAGTTGTACGCCTTTTCCTCACAAAGGTACCGATTGAAAAATCTTTTCGATAACCATCAACCGGATTGATTCCCGCGCAGATATGAACATAGTGTTTGGTGAATTCAATTCATGAGTGGCTTCGTGCCAAAACAAATGAGGCTCCCAAAAGCCACGTGATCATACGGTTGAAAGAGTTAAAAGAATGTCTCCGTCATTTTCGCATGCCAATCATCCTTGCGTCTTTGCAACGCGTCGAACCATCCTTTGGAAGGGACAGAGGCCTCCACCGTTTCCTCAGCGTGCAACTCTGAAACGCCCAGGGCGCATTGATTGAATTGTTTGTCCATGTCGGGCCGCCAGAAATATGTTGATTTGAGCGTTAAACAAAA